GTTCACACTTGATTTGCAATATAGTAACTTCAACTGCTGTGGTGCTTTTTGTATTAAATGGGATAATTAGCTGGTGCAGAGATGAGAGCTGTGAACTATAGTCAATAACTAGTTCATAAGAAACTAAGAAGTTCTGGAGATACACCAAGTGCATGGGTTTATAAACAGAGTTATACAAAATGAACATTACTACTATCTATAAGAAACTGTATATTAAAGGCACATATTAAAGGCACTGCTGAAAAATTATTAAACCAATCCTGGGTTTTAATGAGATCAGACTATTTAAATGAAAAAGAAATCCTTATGATATATAAATTTGAGATTGCTTTTTAAATAGGCTGTCTTTCTTAATATAGTACAAATATACACCATCCATAACATACATATTTATGCAACATTCCCTCCTCTCACATTTCCAACTGAGATCATCTGTTCCCGGGTCACCTTCTCCAGCTATAATCTGAAGTCTGAGCTAAGAATAAAAATAACTCTAATATTAACTAAAGACGTAAAGTGGAAAAGGAAATTTGCCATTACTAATTAGCACTGATTGAAAAGTTAATTTTACCAGAATAGACATATATTTATGTAACAGAAGATGTGCATCTGTGTCACTATAAATGGTAATCAATTTTTTAAAATCTATCAATTTCAAACATCATCTGTGAAACAAAACATCATTCTACAGTGTTAAATCATTCATTATAATCGCTAGAGTCTCCAGACTCAAGTCAGGATAAAACAGGATCCAGTAGCCACTTTAATTTTAGACTTCTCATGTCTCAGCTCACAAAGAAAAAAAGCACCCTTGTCCTTTATAAATTCCATAGGCCCTTTGTAAACTGCAGAGGTTAAATGGTCCAAATGATACCTCATAGATGCAAGACAACTTAGACTAGAATTAGCATCTTTAAAAGAATATTGTGGGGCATGATATTATAATAAAAATTAATATTATACTTACTGAATAAGAACCTCCTTCTATAAATATGTGAAGGCATACCTTATTTTCTTTGTATCTACTGAGATCTGCTATGCAGTATTCCTTGAATAACTTATCATAGTATTTCTTAGCAAGTCTCTTCTCCCTAGGTCCATAAAAAATATAAATATTATACATTTA